CCCCAAAACCCCAAAACCCCCTATGGAAATGATTTGAGTGTGATTTATGAAATCAAAATAAGTTGTATTTAATGAATATATGAGTCAGTTTATCAATTATTTGCTAATATTTTACTTAATCTTTGAAGCTGCATTGTTCTTACTTATTTTTACTCTAGGCTAGTTCAAATAAATACTAGTCGCACTGTTATCTTTATGATGATGGATAGTGGCTGTACCAGTCGAAGATCTTTTACTATGATTCGTGAAGTAAGCGAATTAATTAATTCTTGGTGAATCATCTTTTGCTTGAGTAGTGTGGACCAAAGAATTTTTAACTTTTTCTGGAAGATCAAAAATAGATGAGTTTTGCCCTGTCTAATTAATGTCAAGTTAAGTATGATTGGTTGTGGGTCTTCCACTTTGATTTAATCCTCTACTAAATGAATTGCTTTGCTTTTGTCGAGAATTAGGCTTGTCATATTGCACAATGTCTTTTGATCTGGAAATCATACTGTTGTATAACTATGATTTTTACTTGCTTTATTGATGTTTCATAAATAGCAATTTACTTTTATCATAATAGTCATCGACAAATTCAGCCTAACTGTTAATAAGCTAGGTCTTTGCCCCTTTAATTCTTTCTTAATTAGAATTATTCATTTGTTCGTTAGAATCACTCATAAATTGGTTAAGAGTATTTTTGTTGAAAATCATATTTCTTGAAATCCCATGCGATTATAGAATGAATCATTTGCCCATGAATTAATTTTTAGCACTCTCTGCTGTTTCTTGAATGTGATTTTCCATCATTTTGGATGGAGACTATCTGCTCTACCCTCTTGAAGATGACTCCTCTTTTGTAATAGACATTCTTGAGTTGAACACTTTATTTCTTTTAAAAGATTCATATGCTGTTTATTATTAAGCGTTAGTCTAATTAGTGCTACTATCGACTAAAAATTGGGTATTTTTATATAATTCAACAAGATTGATGAATACTTTCCCAGTAATTGAGTCTTTGTGAAATATGTTCTTAGATTTTGGGTATTTCATTCCTTATAGTTACTCTTATACTTTATCCCATTACTCTTGTCTTATTCGCTCAAATTCCTATCTTATTTTTGAAGATTTAGCTGCCTTTTCAAATACATTAAGCCACAATCTTTCATAAACCTAGGGCATTTTTCTATAAAAAGTTAATTAGCTTTATTTGATAATACATTTCTAAATTATAGAACGTGCTTTAAAGCGTATCTCTCTGTTACTTCAGCAAATCTCTCATTTTAAAGTTTGATTCAAATTTATCAGCTAGAACCGTGTCTGAATCTACTGACTATCCTTGAACATAGTTAAACATAAACGCACTCTTTCCATCTACTTGTCTGGCAGGAGTGACTCCAAATGCAGTTTACACTATAAGTTCACATTAAGTACCTTTCTCACTCACATCTATCAGATTTTATTGACCTTTGTTTCTTGAGTTAAGTCGTCTGTTTTAACTCCTCCCTGATTTCTCTGATATATTGTCAGCATCACTCTTAAATTGAAATTTATGTGAACTTGTACTATTTCTTGTGTCTACTTTTCTATTGGGAGTTTTGATCTATCTAAATTCAAACTCACTCATAATTATCACTGGATCAGTTTAGCATCCATAGTTAAGACACGGGACTTTATATTAACTCTCTTGTTTGGCTTGAATCTCTTTTTCTTTCTGTTTAACAAAAATTATCTCGGCATTTACATCCTTTAAGTTAGTCTAAATACCCTTTGTTTTATTGTTGTGAGCATAAACGTTATTCAGAGTAGTTGTTCCTGCATTCGAGATACTATTAATTGCTTTTTTCCTGTGTAATTCGGCTTCAGCATAAGCGCTTTGGTATTTGTTTGTGTTATTATTTCCAGATAACCTATTTAACTCATTCTCAAGTCTTTTTCTTTCTCTTTCTACTCCTTCAGCTAGTTTCTAACTATTCTCTAAAGCTCTTTTTAGCGTATTGTGCTCTCCCTCTAATTTTCTTTATTCTTCCCTCATCGATTCTTATTGATTTTTATACATCTAGGCTTCTTATTAAGAATCACTCAGACATTACTCTAAATACTGGATCTTTTCAATTTATTATTCATATTGTAATCTCTTCTCAGCCATCTCTAAGTTTTTCTGATTATTTTCATCAATCAGATTCCTTATATCTTTTTCGTATTCTTCTTTAAGACTTTATATTTCCTATGAAGTTTTTCCCAGTATTATATCTAGTATTCTGTTTATACTTTGCTCGATTATTCTTGACTCTAGCCTATAGGTAAATCGACTCATATTGCTACCTGATGCATCATCCTTATTATCTTCTTCTTAATTCTCTTTGAGTTATTTTATTATTCTATAAAGTTGCCCTAGCATTCCCATTTTCATTAGCTGTATTATATAAGTTAGGGGTATCTTACCGTAAATTTGAGAGATTACCTTGTCAAGATAGCATCAAAATTGGTGTTTACAGTTTCTAGATATTTGATTTTCTCATAAAGCTCAGCTTTTTCTTAATCATTTCTTTAGAATAACTTAGCTTCCTTTGTTTAGAATGATAACTCTGCCAGTTAATATGCTTCCTTCTTGGCTTTCTCGATTTCCTTAAGTTGATTTTCCTTCAACTCTATTATTTCTTGATTTTTGTTATCTAGACTTTTCCTCAGCTATTGAATTTCGTTCTAACAAGACTTAAGCACTTCTTGTATTTAGAATTGAGCTTCTTCTTTGACTTTATCAACTTCAGCGTTTAGCTAGCTATAATCTTTTGAAAATTTACCTCCATATTCCTGCTCAATTATAGTCAAAAAGCAATCTTGTCCGTAGTGCTCATGAATTTCAGTCCAAATATCTTATGGATCGTCGTACATTATTTTTAATGCCCCTATTATCTCTTAAAGACTTAGATTAACAATTCCAAAAGCACTTGGGGAAAGCTTGCTCATGGCATAGATCTTTTTTAGGAGCTCTTCTTAAAACCTTATATGGTCAACTAATCTTCTTTCACACTTTTCTTTCATAGAAAAAAGCCTGGTATTAATAATGTCTAGCATTTCAGGGTCTACTCCTTCTAATGCATTAAAGAATTCAACTGCTACCTAGTCTTCATCATTTAAATAGTTATTTCTCTTATTGCCATCGTTTTTCCAATCTTTTTTTGGATTTTTGTAAACTAATAAGTCCTTGTAATAATTCTTTCTCATATTGGATGTTAGTTCATCTAGGGCCTTGACTTTTTCTTTAAGGAGTTCATTTTCTTTCAATTTCTTGTCTATTCTTTAAGCTTGAAAATTGCTCATAGACATTTCATTTTTACCCATTAAAGATAATTAGGCCAGTGATTTCTCTCCTTTTTTTGGCGAAATTACTTTATTAGACTATTAAGAATTTAGTAACTGTCTTTATTACTCGTATAATTAGTTAAGATTTTCTAAATCTTTTACTATTGATTCTAAATATGGACTGGTTTCGCATACTTTTTATGCAAATTCTTATGATAACTTAGAAATAACTTGTCTAAACTAAAAAAATTAAAAATATAAAATAAATCTTACATCATATTCTACAGTGTGAATTTTTTTAAACTTATCCTTTAGATGATTTTTATTTTTTGTAAAAGCAGATGGCATATACAGAAAATCCTCATATGTATTAATCACTTCTTTTTGTAATTTAAGTTTTGCGTTATTTCAAGTTCCATAGAGAAAACTAACGCTGCCCATACTTCCCATTAATATCGATTTGGCATCTTCGCCCATCGAGGAATCTAATGGGGATTCTACTGAAGAAGCTAGATTTTTTTTGAACTATCATTCTTTTACTATTGAAAAAAAGCAGTCATAAAGCTACTGATAGTTGCCTGTCATAAATTGTTCAAATTGCTGAGAGAAAAAATTCTAAGAGTCTACAGCTTTTGATATTCTTATTGTTGGACTCTCTATTTCAATTGATTTATTAGGGGATGATATTGAATCATTTCCTCCTCCACTTGATGAGTACATTAAATAAAATTTATTAATTTATAATTATAACAAGAATTCGATCATTTCATAAAATTGTAATATGCTCAACAAGCGAAAATAATTAATAGCTGGATTCAACTAGGATTTAGTAGAGGATATTGAAGAGAATACTAACTTTCTGGTTGCTAAAAGAAAAAACAGAATCCGTAAAGGTAAAAGTCTGAAGGATAAATATCTCTATCATACTATTGGAGATGGATTTGTCAAGGGTGGGATCATTATAGATGGATCTGAATAATAAGAATAAATATCCTTGAATAATACTAATATGAACATGAACAAAACTCTTTAGATTTCAGAAACAATCTCTAATCATATGTACAATTAGTGTAAGTTATAATTCATAGTCAAACTTAAATAGAAGATGGTAAAAATGTGATATTAAACAATACGATTGGTGATGAATAGCATAATACATAAAATAGTGCTATGGTTAGAAGAAATAGCTCTTCTTTAAACTATAGACGACCTTCCACAGCTCACAGGGAAGATTCATTCATTTACTAGTCAAAAGCTCCAAGGATTCAATTTAACAAGAAAATTCAGCAGTAATAGGATGATATTATTGCTTAGCTTAATCAGTAGCCGTAGACCATTTAGTAGCCTCTCTAAGATGAAAATTTAAAAAGTAGAAATATTTAGACATCCTAAGGGTTTAGAGCAACGAGCTAAATAAATCAGAATGTTTCTACTATGTCAACTTAATAGAAAATGCCTTTGTCGTAAAGAGGTATTCCTATTAGAGGCTTTAATAATACTTTTGGTACAGTTAAGGGACCTTAAAAGAATTTAAATAACAATGAATTTATTGCAATGATAAAAAATAGAGGAGAATATAGAAGAGATAAAATGGTAAAGAAGCTGACCAATCAATTCATTCACTCTGTATAACCAATGAAAGATGAGAATTAGTAAAATAAACAAGCACTGCTATTTCCAATTACTAGATCAATAGTAACTTGCAATAAATCAGCAACTAAGCAAAGAGATATCAAGTTAGAATTAGATAAGGATCCTGGTAGCCCTTTCTGCCATCCAATGTAAAAATATCAAAGCAGGCCATAATCACAGAATGCTTTTGCAAGACCTTCTTATGCAAGAAGAGAAAGTATGAAATATATGGGTAGTGCATAGATTGAAATTCACAAAGTTTCTAAGTTTGCTGCTTAAACTTGAACATCAACTATTCAAACTAACCCAAGTTTAATTATGGAATAAAATAAAATTCTTATAACTGGCTAAGATACAAAAGGTTTACCTGATTTCATAAGTCCAAGACAAAAATTTAATTCCATTATACTCTAGTAGACTAACTATAAGCAAAAGGATTATCTTTAAAGTATGGTAAATGATGTCATCAATAAAAAGAAAGAGCACAAAGGAGCTGTTTATTAGTCTCAACCTGAGCCATAATAAATGAATTAAAATAAGATTAAAAATTCGCTCATATAGGTAATTTAAACTCATTAAACCAAACTTGAGTACGAAGTTAGTAAGTTATTTTTTAATACTAACTTAAAATATGTAGTTAAGCGAGATGAGATAAGATAAAGAGCTTATATGTAGAAGTACAAAACAGTTAACCCTAATTTACTTGAAGAGACTTAAAACTCAATTCATTTGAATTAGTATCCCTTCATTGATAAGAATTGCAGAAAGTTTTATCAAAACAGGAAGGATTAAATTACTCATATGATGCAATAGAAAGATCAAACTTAAAGCTAAAAAGAAAAGCAGTTCAATAATATGGGCTACGAAGACATCAAGCAGATGAATGACTAAAATCTTGAGACTTTCTTCAGAGACAATCAGCTACTCCCACTGATCTACTTTCCCACCTTCAACAAGAAGCCAGAGAAGTAAGTGGGCAAGTATGAATTCTTTCTGGTCAAGGGTAATCAGTACTTGCATAAAGAAGATTATATTAAGGCTATGAGATTCTTCAAGGATGGACTCAAGAGCTATCCTGGGTCGCTTGCTTACTAGTTCAACATTGCCCTGGTGTACTTCCTCAGAAGTGACTTCGACTCTGCCAAATAGATCTACGAGGAGCTATTTTTGGAGTTGCCCGATTCGCCCTCAATCCTCTACAACCTGCTGCTGACTCTGATGAAGGGAGAGCAGCACATTGAAATCCAGAGGTACAAGGATGTGAACTACTTGACGAGACCGAGAGCGCTGATGAGCTAGGAACATATCAACATCAACAAAATGCTTATTTACTCTGCCTCAGTGCTGGCTAGGAATTAAGTCTCTGATGCAGGGCTCAAAGAAGAGAGTAGAAATCTTACTTCTAAAAGGCATTCTCTACAATATTAGTATAGTTAAGTTTAATAAAGAAAACTTAGTAATTAGAAGTCATTAACTAAGACTAGATTGAAATCAACTGGTCCTATTGAAGAAAAATTTCTCAAATTTGACGATACGTACTTTCGTAAAAGAGATATAACTTAACATCCATAAAGATCTCTAAGACTTCTGACCCAGAAAAGAGAAATTAGCTTGATAAAATCCAATTAGCTTGTCTAAAGGCCCTAAAAATCAATGATTGAAGTCTTCTAAGAAGATTATGAAAAAAAGAAATAAAAATTTGATAGAATTCTTTCTGCAAAAAGGCATGTTATGAAAGATAGGGATACACTTTATGCTAATATAGAAACTAATATAATTAGAATTAATTCTGCGGACAAAGATAAAAATAATAGAAAGCCGAGCATAATGTTTAAAATTGCTCCAGGTAAAAATAGATCTTCAAGTTTAGATCTTGTTTATAAGTAACTTGCTGAAGTCACTAAAACCTACACTGAAGGAAACAACGATCCCATCGATGAAAAGTATAAGGAATTATTAGAAGACTTAAGAATATTTAAATAGCGAGTCAACATTAAAGAATTTGTATAAGATGAAAAAGATAAGGAAAAGGAGGAAAAAGAATACAGAGAAAGACCTTGGTTAGATGAGAAAACAGAAAAGAAAAAAAACCCACTTCTTTAAAGTAAGTAAATGGATAGAGCAAGATCGTTCATTAAAAGTGCAGTAGGAGCTAAGAACAGGAATGAAAGTATAAAGATAGCAAAAAATATTGAGAATTTGATTGATGATCATGTTAAAAATATCTAAGAACAGATAAAAGGTGATAAATAGATAAAGCTTGAAAAAGAACTTACAAAAATAATATAAGATCTTTCAATTGATAATAAGGATACTTAGAATATTTTTGAAAATTTAGACCAATCAGAGTTAAATAGTATTGATAAGTCTTTTATTACAAGACTTGAGAAGATAAAAGACATATCATAGATGACAGAAGATTAAAAATTCATGCAAGTTCTGGGGATTACAAAGGAAGACTTAGACAAGAGGAAAGAAATGTAGCAAGATAAGCTTTTAAATGTTCTCTGCCCAGATGGAGTTACTTAAGAAGACAGAGAAAGCTTTGATAGAGATACAGATGAATTTTTAAGTTATTTGTACAACAATTTCCTCATAAAGTCAACTATTGTGCCTGGAACAGAAATACCTCATCTTTTTAGAGATAGTCTTTATTTTGAGTAAATCAAAAAATACTTGGAAAAACTTTCCTAGACTATAACTTCAAGATTAGGAATATTTGGACAAGATTTGGAATTACCATATGAAGCAGATGAGCAAGAATATGTTTGGGAAGTTCAAATTCCCCCGAAAAAAATAGAATAAAAAGAGAAAAAAACTGTGTATAAACAAATTCTCAAAAAAGGTTAGGAATTAGACGGTGAAAGCACTGCTAAAAGTACCCTAGCTTATCTGTTCTTGTAGAAAATTAATACTATGGGCCTTTTGAATAAGTTGGTTTAGGATAATATGTCTAGAATAAAGAAAAAAAGAAGAGGAGGCTATTCTTCGCATGTCTCCAGCTTGACTTCTTAAGAGCTGAAGTATGTGGAATAATAGTTAAATAAATAAAACAGCAAATTTATGAAGCTTATAGATTACTAATTAATCGATAATGTCTTATCAGATCTTAAATTCTTTTCCCTATTCGAGAAGGAAGTGAGGAACAAAATATATAAGCTAGGTAGTTACCAAAGAAATGATAATCCAGATAAAAATATCGTTGATCCAGATTTAGAGCTTACTAAATATATGTATGTTGTACTCTCTGGAAGAGTCACAATAATAAAAAATGACCTTGATCTGGGAATTGAGTTGCCTCTGACTACATTCAAAGCAGGAGACTGTTTTGGAGATCTAAGCATTCAATCTCATACTGTAAATCCTTATGATATCCTTAGTAAAAACAAAATTTATGCCAGAGCAGATGACAATGATGATCCTTGTCACTTGTTTAAATTTGAAAGAGAAGCATTTATATAATCAATCTTTAAAGACATGAAAGATAATCTTTATAAGAAAATTATGATGCTCAAAAGTGCTGAGTTCTTTGAAGATTTAAGTCCTTATGCCTTGTTTATTTTAGCATCTAGCGTATAAGTTAAAGAATTCAAACTAGGTGATATCATTATAAAGCAAGGAACTGAACCATCAGAGTGCTATATCATACTTGAAGGAGAATGCAAAATAATCTATGAAAAGGATTTAGTAAAAAGCACAAAGGTATCTAAATTTGCTAAAAAATGCTTGCAAAGTGATATTCCTAAGCCTCTACACTTTAGCAATAATGATACCGTTGCTATTAATCAAAATCATCAAACACCTATAGAAAGAAATTCTCAATAAAGTAAATAAATGGATAATGCAGAGGAGAAAATTAGATAAGCTGTTTAAGAGTAGAATATGAATAAATATTCATTTCAGAACGAGATATTAAAACAAGATAGCAAAAAGAATTTGATATAGTATCGGCATCATGTTTGTTTTGGGGAACTTAAAATAGGGAATTGTGTTGGCTATAGGACAATGCTTGACAAATAGATTATTAGAAGGCACATCATAGATGAATGTGAGTCTTACTCTGAGCAGTTGTAGATCAATCAGCAGACTATTCAACAAGAGAATTTTCAGAATAAAGCAAATTAAGCAAAAGCTGAACATCAAAACTCACTTTTTAAAAAAAAGAAACTCTCGAACAGATTGTCTCCACCTTTTGAAGATAAAGAATAAGTCCATTTGAATTTGAAATTAATCAACGAGATTAATGAGGCTACAGTCTAGGTTACAGACATGATTATACTCGATGAGATGAATTAGAAAGTTACAAAATCAACTGAAACTGACAAGCAAATAAACGCTCCTTATTTGAAGCATTCGTCGACAATGGAAAACTAAGCTCCTTCTCATATAGCTGAAGAGATAACACCTAGAAAACCAGAAGAAGAACTTTTATCAAGAAACTAGCTGGTAATGAAATCTCGATTATACGATAGATTGATGCATGAACTCCAAAAATCCTAGCTAACTGTGGTCGCAAATACAGCATCAGTAAAAGTTATGGTTATTAGAAAAGAAGATAAGAATTTCTTAAATGAGACTCTCAAGAATATCATTGACAGAAGGTTGTTAGAAAAAAGATTTAGAGATGCTGATAGACCTTTAGACAATATAAAGAATGTCCTTGAGATAGTTGAACAAGAGAAAACGTGGAAGCAATTTAAGACAAAACTAGAATCAGATATGTTAAGAGAAGTCGCAATGACTAGAAAAATCAACAAATTACTTGATTGATTTACTATTTCCTTATTTCTAAAATTTATTTAATCACTTTTAAAATCTAAAAAGGCTTATTTCTCAATTATGGGGTTTTGGGGTTTTGGGG